TCCAACACATATGATTATTATCAAAATATTAAACTTTAATATAACATAAAAAAGGTAAAAAAGAAGACATTAAAAAAAAAAAAACATTTAAAAATCTCAATTCACATATATAGTATATATTGTAAATATATTAAGGAAAATGGGGTTTCTAAACCCCAAGCCTTATAGGAGCTCCAATCTCTCAATCTTAATTTTCTAAATTTTTGATTAAAAAAGAAAAAAAAACTCAGCATTTATTGATTTGGTCAAAATTCCCTAATCAACATTTATTAACTTTTTTCAATCCACATGCCTGCATTTATTGATTTGGTCAAAATTCCTCATTAGTATTTAAAATCCCCTCATACAAATAATTATAGATACAGCCTGTGCATAGTTACTGCAGTAGCCTTTTTAATTTATTCTGTACACTATGGTTAGTGATAAGATTATTAAATTATTTTTATAAAAAAAATTTTAAAACATAATTTATATATTAAAAAAATTAAAAAAATATAAATATCTATAATTATCCTGTGCATAGCACGGGTGATAGGCTAGTAACATTTGAAGCAAAATGGAAATATTGTGCACATTTACTTGGTGTTGCATTTGTAGAGGGTAGTAATTATCTAAAAAGGCATGCTAACAAATATTTACAAAGTTAACAACTTGGTATTAGAAGTCAAATGCAATTAAAAGCTTTATCAACTGGTTATTTGCTAACATTTTCATATGGTCCTATACATTCACAAAATTCTGTAATTGAATATATTATTAAAAAAGAACAACATTTTACTAGTAGTGAACGTTCTGATTTTTTTTTATAAATTGTTCATAGAAGTTTTGTACCGCAATATCAAAGTTTTTCAAAAAAATATTACTAGAAACAGGATTTTAAATAAATTTGAGGATATTAAAAATGAATTATTTGACATTTTCAAAAATTTAAATGGAAGAGTTTGTTTAACATCTGATTTGTGATTAAATAATGGTTTAGAATACTAATATATCACTACAAATTTTATTGATAATAATTGAAAATTAAATAAAAAAAATTGTTTCATTTAGATTAATTGAATTTTCATACACTGGCCATTCACTTGGTGTGGAAATAAGAAATATATTATATGGGTGAACTTTGTAAAATAAAATATTTACCATTAATTTAGATAATATAACATATTACAATAAGACTGTAACCCATTTGAAATCAATTTTATAATTACTTGTTGGTGATGATTTATTTCATATTTGTTGTTGTGCTCATTTTTTAAACTTGAATGTTAAAGAAGCTATGCATGTATACGAGACTTCTGTATTGGTAATAAAAAAATGCGATTGTGACTATTATGTTTTTTGCTAATTAAATATTGAAATACAGAAAAATTTGTCAATAAGAATGTAGGCCATTTGAAAACTAATTTTAAATAGACAGCAGGTGGAATTCAACATATAATATGTTAAAAAGAGCTTGTAAAGAAAGAAAAATAATAGATTTATTTTGGCAACAACATTAATATGAGGAGTACTGACTCCCACATAACTTAATTAGCGCCAAGTAGCCTTATATAAAGGTTTTCTAAAAAAATTTAATACTGCAACAAAATTATTTTCTTATATATATATATATATATATATTCATATTTCACCATTTGTGTTACATATGTTAGCAAAAATAATGAAAGTTTTCATAAAATATATGTGTAATGAATATTATGTAACCATTATTATTGTAATGAAAGAAAAATTTGATAAATATTTTAATTCATTGCCTCATGTTTTAAGTTTAGCAGTAATAATTGATCCTGGGTGTAAAAAAATTGATTTACAATAATTTTTAGAACGTATTTTTGCTGATCAAAAACAATTTGCCCCTATTATGAAAACATGCAAAATATTATTTGAACAATATAAGGCGACTGCATCTGTAAATACACCTATATACACCAGCAGCCTCATCTTAAGAAGAAAGATTAAGTATATTTTCAGTAATAAAAAGTAGAAGAATATCTCAACATATAAGCATAAGTAGTTTAGAACAACAACGTTATTTGGAAAGCCCAACAATGGATGATTTCAAAAATTTTGATATTTTAGATAAGTGGAAACAAAATAAAACTTTGTGGCATGTACTTTTACAGATGACCTGTGGTATATTAACAATTATTATTTCTACAGTTGCTTCAAAAACAGCTTTTAATATATGTGGACGTGTGCTGAGTGATTACCACAGCAGACTTTTGCCTCAAATGTTTGATGCACTAACGATATTCGGAGATCATATGCATGTGCTTATGAGAAGACAAAATTATAGTGAAAATGAGAGAATTCAAAGCCATCTGGATAACATATCCTCGGGCAAAACGAGTGAATTATCTGTCTCCTCCGATGATTGATCAACAATTTGTTTTTCACTATTTCATTTCGTTATTGTTTTGTATTAGATAATTAAAGTGGAGTATAATGTAAATAATTGGTAGGCTTGTATGTGCTAACCTAATTGAGATGTACTTGACTTATAATAATGCAATTACTCTACCATCATCAATAGTCTAAATTTATTTTATTTAATGATATAAATATTTGTAATATTTTATTTTATTTTGAAATAAAAATTATTCATTCAATAAAAGTTATCTATTTAATTTTATGATTGTAATATTGTAAGTTTTATTTTGATATATATAAAAATTTACATGATTTCATATTTTTTTAATCATAAGTTTATAATAAAAAAAAATGAGTCATACATAATTAAATTTAAATACCACCTCACATGAAGCATGACCAAACATCTTATTAATTTTAATTAAAATACTCTAGTATATTTTTTCTTTTGTTTTTGTATCCCTCATAAATAATCCATATACATAATATATTTATTGTTTATTTTTTATTAAAAAAAAGGCCTACCAAGGCCCATTTGTGATCTGGGCTCGAGCTTAGGCCCTAATTTGAGTGGGCCTAGCCTGGGTCCCATTTTTCAGCTAGCGTGCCAACCTGGCCCAGCCTAACAAAAAAACAAGAGCCTGCGTGGCCCGCCATTGGCCGAATCATATTTACACCCCTACACAGCATTGTGTTGTGACTAGGGTCGTGTAAAATATCGTCCAATTCATTAAAATCGCATCGATCTGTATTAATTCGTACCGCTCTATCTGTTAATCGCAATTTAAACTTTAAAATTTATAATCCGCCTTTGAAGCCGCTTCGCCCTGCCATAGTTAATATATATATATACATTTTAACCTATAATAAAATATCAAAATAAAAATATGTGTGAAAGAGATTTAATATGTGAATTTTATTATAAATTAATAGTTATGTATATGAAAAATATTATGTAAATTAATATTCTATAAAGACTTAATAATTGATTAGAATTCTTTAATCTGTCAATCTATCAAAAATTACTCAAATTATAATTTATCAGTTTATTAATATGTTATTCAGTTTATAATTTTACTATCAAATCATCCAAATAGTACCATGCATCCCCTAACTATGACAGCACACCCCCTCAGTCCTGAATTTTCAAAAACCATTAATGAAGCAAAGACCACACCAGCCTCTGGGTTTTCAACAGAACAGTCCCATTCTCCTATTATTTGATTCCACAAGTGTCTAAGTTTATATACCCTTTTATTAAACTATGAAAGAGAACCATTCTTATAATAATCATGGTACTAATCACCTCATATCAAAACCAACAAAGCCTAAAATTGTGCTCCAAAACCACCACCAATACCGTGGCCAATAATAATAATAAAATAAAACCATTATCATACTTTCGTTTGACAAAATTAGAAAGTTATTTTATTTTTCTTAACTATTTTTGTCTTTTTAAAATTCCTTTTAATTTTGAGTTGATTTTTTAAATATTTTTGTCTTTTTAAACTTTTATGAAAAACAAAAGTTAAATTATTTTTTTAAAAGATAGTTTAATCAACAATCTAAATAAAATTTGAATTAATTTAAACTATAAAAGAGAACCGTTCTTATAATAATCATAGTACTAATCGCCTCATTTCAAAACCAACAAACCCTAAAAGTGTGCTCCAAAACCACCACCACTACCGTGACCAATAATAATAATAAAATAAAACCATTTATCATACTTTCATCTGACAAAATTAAACGTTATTTTATTTTTATTAACTTTTCTTGCCTTTTTCAAATTCCTTTTAATTCTAAGTTGATTTTTTAAAAATATTTTTGTCTTTTTAAACTTTTATGAAAAACAAAAGTTAAATTATTTTTTTTAAAAATAGTTTAATCAACAATCTAAATAAAATTTGATTTTTTTTTTTATAAAATGTACATAACAATAAATTAAACTTAAAAATAAATAAATAAACAAACAAACTCCTAAGGCTCCGTTTGGCATGATTACTTGGGCTAATTTACCCATGTGAGACAAAATGACAAAATTTCATATCTAACTTATAATTATTTAATTTTTTTTCTCATAAAAATTAAAAAATTTATCCTAAACGAGACTTTTTAACTCCAGGTTAAAATAGTCAAAAAGCTAAAAAACCAATCCACATCCCAAATGAAAGCTAAAAAAATGCTATAAGACCGTCTCCAATACTTTTCATCAAATTTTATAGGTGACTGTTGATGAACAACTAGGTGAACAACTTCGTGGACAACTGGATTTCGAGATAAAAGGGCAATTTGGAAAGCTACTAAAAATTAGTTTTTAACTTTTAGCTTATTTTTGGTCACATCACTTCTCATATTTTTTTACACATAAAAGACAAAAAAAATTAAAAAATCAATTTTTAACCAACTACTCAAATCACTCTAAATCAAATGAAAATTTACTATTTATGAGACAACTGATAAAATTGATAAAAATCATTAAAATATATCATATTTCTAATTTTTTGTTTAAATTTAATAAAACATTAGAGAGGTCCAAAGTTTTTTGTTTAAATTTAATAAAACATTAGAGAGGTCCAAAGTAAAGAGAGAATCCAACCCAGTTGCATTTCTTGCCCACCACTGTCCACAGTATTCAAAACCCCCTCCCTCTCCCCCTCTCTCTCTCTCTCTCTCTTCGTCTCTCTCTCTTCCCCATCACAAAGCTATATATATACCACCGAAAAACCACCTTCTGTGCTTTCACCTTTCTATTCCTCTTTTGCTTCTCAAACTACTAGTCCACAATCCTCAACACTTCTAGTCTTTTTTGTATTTTCTAGAAAAAAAAAAAAAAAATCAATCTTCCACCCAAAATGGAATCGGCAAACCAAATCGGCGCCCTGGGTCACCCCGCCGCGTCTCTGACTCCGGCTCTAGTCCCGGCTAGATCATCAAGCGGGACGCTGGGCGGGCACCTGGCTCGGCGGCTGGTCCAAATCGGAGTGAGAGACGTGTTCTCCGTTCCCGGCGACTTCAACCTGACTCTGTTGGACCACTTGATCGCCGAGCCGCAGCTCAATCTGGTGGGGTGCTGCAACGAGCTGAACGCCGGATACGCCGCCGACGGGTACGCACGTGCCAAGGGAGTTGGGGCGTGTGTGGTGACGTTCACGGTGGGTGGGTTGAGTGTTTTGAATGCGATCGGGGGTGCGTATAGTGAGAACTTGCCGGTGATATGTATAGTCGGAGGACCCAACTCCAATGACTATGGCACTAATCGGATCCTCCACCACACGATCGGCTTGCCTGATTTCAGTCAGGAGCTCCGCTGCTTTCAGACAATCACCTGTGCTCAGGTCACACTCTCTCCCCCTCTCAGAATATTTCAAATAATCGGAGTTCACTTTCAACTATTTATTCATCAAATTTGATTTTGGTGAAAATGACCTCCAATCATTTCATTAAACTCGTATCAAATCGATGAAGTGGCAAAATTTTTACCAGGTTGGACCAAATTTATCTTTAACAGTCATATATTTACTTAGATTTGATGAAATTTCAAAAAGTGATGATTTTTCCCCCCCTTCATAAATAATGGTTATAACAGGTTTCTATGATAAGTTTAGAATTTTTCAAAAAGATTTGATAAATAAAAATAAAAATAAAAATAAAAAAGGGGCACGGATTATGAAAAAAAGTAACAATTTGAGATACTCTTATAGAATTGATTATAGAAGGCAAATTTGGTTTTGGAGGTTGTCTCTTTCTCCTTAAATACATTATTCTTCTTTCAACTTGGAATCAAGATTTCACTGTTTATCAACAAGTTTGAATTTCAATTTGGAACCTTTGTGCAAATTGTTCCTTATTGAAAATTTTATAAGCACTTAATCTGAAGATGTTTTAGAGATCAATGGGTGACAAGTATGTAGAATTGAATTATTGAATTGTTTGTAAAGATGAAGAAGATGAAGATGAAGATGGAGAGAGAGAGAAGAAGATGAAGATGGAGAGAGAAAGAACTGGGTTGGGTTTTTCCTGAAATAATATATATATATATATATATATGAGGGTATAATTGTCAATTTACAACTTTTGTTAATAGAAGTTAATGTGCGTTTTAGTCCATCAACCATAGGGGTTATGTGGTGATATCCGAATTTCAGGGGTAAATCGCACTCAGCCCAAACCATAAGGGGGTAAAGTGAAGTTTGCGTATTATGTTTTATATAATTGTTCCTTATGATTATTGTAATAATTAGTGATTAAACAAAGCTTTTCAGTTTTTATTTCATTATTAACTAATGTAATTGTAATTCTTTGCTGTTGAACTTTGCAGGGTTCTCAAAAATTTTATAGTAATTAGGGATTTGTAATATATATATTTGGATTGAGGGGTGGTGTTTAGCTATGCCATTGGTATGTGAACATTGTAAGTTATTTATTTTGATGTGGTGGCGATGAAATGTGACAGGCAGTGGTGAACAACTTGGAAGATGCGCACGAGCTGATTGACACTGCGATTTCAACCGCTTTGAAGGAAAGCAAGCCAGTATATATCAGCATAAGTTGTAATCTGTCCGGAATTCCTCATCCAACCTTTGCTAGGGAGCCAGTCCCATATTTTCTTGCACCGAAGTAAGCTTATTCTTTCATACTTACCTGCCTCATGATTGTCTATATTGTTGTTACTCTGTTTCTGGTCTTGGTATGAATTAGGATAATCTTTCATTAGTCGTTTAATACATTTTGAGGACTTAAAACAGAAAAATTGAACTGAATTATTGTATTCTCTCTATATGGTTTTGATTTGTTTATGAGTGTATTACCTTGCAAGTATGCTAAAATGTGCAATACAAGTAATAATTTTACTCGTACTAAATCTATTTAAATGGAATACTGGATAGGAACACACTGATTGGAATGCCACGGACATTGCCTTTTCCTGTGATTTCATAACAAAATGTGAATCATAATGCTTTTAAGTACCTCTAGGCCCTATCTCTGGCCATGTTTGTTTTAGTCCATCAGCCATGGGATTGGATTGGTTATCCTATGGATCCCACAAAAAATGTTTGTTTGGAGAAAAAGCCATGGGACTATTAATACCCTTCAAGTAGGGAATTAGCAAACAATCCAATGGGGAGGTGGGTTTGCTAACTCAATCCCATGGGATTGGAGGAAAAAAAAACTAATTTGCCCTCCATTTTTACAAAAACAACAAAATCACCTTTTATATAATGAGAATTTTTATGCAATTTCATAAATTCAATCCCACCCAATTAATATCACTATACTAGTACACTTACATCTCCAATCTAACACCACCACACTAGTAATCTCATCATCACTCAATCTCACTGTACTCCTAACCCCACCCAACCTAAATTAGCAAACAAACATGGCCTCTGTGATATATTGTTTGATAATCATGTGCTGTTGAAGTTGTGGTATGAGAGCAAGCATGAAAAGGAGGAATTTTAAATTTTAACCAAATGAATTGATTTGGGTGCTTTTTCATATGTTCATTGTAGTTGAACACTTTTGCAGTTGAAAAAACTCTTATCCTCTTTATTAGGTCATTTCCAAACCTTGCTCAAACCTTCTACTCAAATTTAAATTTGTGTGGAAAACACTCAAAATTCCTGTCCACTCCTTCACTCTAATCTCTACCAACTTGAGTTTTAAACCCCCCCCCATTTTCTTTTTTTTTAACTGAAAAGAAGGGATACTCAAATCTTGACTCAAATGCCCAACAACTATATTTCATTTATTTATCATGCTCAACACTCTGGGGATATGATGAGAACTTTTAAAAGGAATCTAGTAAAATTTGCGTCATGGTTGGAGGTGGCCCTAGAACTGCCTCTATAGTTGATCAATAGAACTGTCTGCTGTGAGGGCTGATCCTCCAGTTCAAAAAACCCCAAGGGGATTGACATCTATCCTAAGTTCCACACAACTATATTTGTTCTTGCATGCTTTTGGCAACAGGTCATTTGCTTTGTGAAGTGATAAAGCTTGGGTTACCAGATGTGAAAATGCAGGTTTTAGGCCTCGTTTGGGAACAGGCTAATTTAGTAACTTTTTGGCTATTTGGCTAAAAAGGTAGGTAAAAAAAACTTATAGGTTTGGGATGACTTTTTGGCTAATTACGATGTGCAAAAAGTAGAGAGAAAAGAGAATCTTTGACTTTTTGGTATGGGTTGTTGGTTTTTTGGCTAATTTAGTAACTTTTTGGCTAATTGGCTAAAATAGCCTCTTGCCAAACGAGGCCTAGGAAGCCAGGCACTTTGTGCTAACAAAGCGAAAGGTGAGGTTTGTACCCATGCCATTGCGCTGGTCAAGCACATGGCTTGATTTGTGACCAAAATGGGCTTACAACCATTTTAGCTGTATGCTTTTGGCTAGATATAATGATATGTCATGTGAACATTGCCTAGGTACTAAAGTTCTACCCTCATCTCAATAGCTAGTTTTTGGGATTAAGTTCTATCCAAGATTGTGTAACATGGTATCAGAGCCGGAGCACTCATGGATGGGTAGGGTGCGTATCCTTGGGCTGTTGCTGTCGAGTGAGCACGCTGGGCATGGGAGAGGGTGTGAAGCAAAGTCTCACATTGCCTGAGTACTAAAGTAATGTTAAGCATATAAGTGTGAGGGCATTCTTACCTCAATAACCAACTTTTGGAGTTGAGTTCTACCCGAGACTGTATAGCAGTGTGTCCCTAGCTTGCATGCAACAAGTGCTGTCGAGTGAGCATGTTGCATGTGAGGGAGGGTGTGAAGCGAAGTTTCACATTGCTTGGGTATAAAAGTAAGGTAAATTATATAAGCATGGGGGCACTTTCGCCTTAAGGTTGAGTTCTATCCAAGCCCTTGTAACAATGTTGTCGTGTTTTCATCTTCTTTGTGTTTGACATCATTTCCTATCTCAACTTCAAAATAACCAAAACTTCATTTTGTACGCAGGGTGAGCAATCAAATAGGATTAGAGGCTGCAGTGGAAGCGACAGCTGATTTTCTGAATAAGGCTGTGAAACCTGTCCTTGTTGGAGGTCCCAAGCTAAGGGCCACAAAGGCACAACAAGCCTTTGTGGAGCTAGCAGATGCATGTGGATATCCAATAGCTGTAATGCCTTCGGGTAAAGGACTCGTTCCAGAGAACCATCCACACTTCATTGGGACATATTGGGGTGCTGTCAGCACCAGCTATTGTGGGGAGATTGTGGAATCCGCTGATGCTTACGTTTTTGTGGGTCCCATCTTCAATGATTACAGCTCAGTTGGATATTCTTTGCTGATCAAGAAAGAGAAAGCAGTGATAGTTCAGCCCAATCGTGTGACTATTGGTAATGGGCCATCCTTGGGTTGGGTTTTCATGGCAGATTTTTTAACTGCATTGGCGAAGAGGCTGAAGAAGAACAGCACTGCCGTTGACAATTACCGTCGGATATTTGTCCCTCCAGGCATTCCTCTGAAACGTGAGAATAATGAACCTCTTAGAGTCAACATACTCTTCAAGCACATTCAGGTGACCAACAAGAAGCGTGACGTAGTTTCTTCTTTCTTTTTACCTTTGACAACCTGGACACTCGCTCAATTAAAAAAAAAAAAAATCATTTTTTAAAAAATTCTTTTAAACTGTGATACAAGTTTCTATGTGGAGCATGATCAGATACACGCATTGCTTAACACGTGATGATTGACATTACCAAGATTCTCAGATGGTCTCCTTCTCAAACTTTGAATAGGGTGTAGGACTAGCAAAATATATGTTATAACCCTCTTTTCATGAGTTGAGAATTAGGACAGATTGCTAGACCTTATTTGTCTGACACAGTTTGTTTGACTAACTTGATTCCCTCTCCAACTCTTCTTATGAAAATGAAAGCTATAAGGCTCTAATTTGAACTATAAAATTTATTGTTCTGTTTTCCTATTTCAATCTATCCTCGTAAAGGATGTGGTTGGTCATATCCTCTGTTAATATCAGTTCAGAAGACCTCTTAGGTTCGAAATTTGGGAGGATTTAGAGCCTGTTTTCTGTACTTCAAAAGTAGATGGATAAAAGGAAACCCAGGGGGTGTGATGAATCTATTCTGCCTATCTCTGTCTTTTAAGTATGTCTGTGCGTATTTGAAGTATTGCATTCTTCATGTTATTAAGACAAGTTAATTAAGCAGGAGATGCTGGGAGGAGACACTGCAGTAATTGCAGAGACAGGGGACTCGTGGTTTAATTGTCAGAAGCTCCATCTCCCTGAAAATTGCGGGTAAGCCAGGGCTCTTCAGTGAACATGACTGTTTTAATTTTAAAATAAGTTAATAAACTTCTGCTCTTCAGTGAACATGACTTTTAATTTTAAAATAAGTTAATAAAGCTTCTGCTTTTATCATCAATCAAGATGTAGTTCACATAAAGGCAATTGTGCTAGTATTGTCATTTTTGTTTTATTTTAAATGGCCATCTAAAATAAGAGAAAATGTTTCATTGAGGTAGCATCATTTTTTCCAATCAATAATTAGATGGAATCCATGGATATTGGGAACTGAATTGATGTTTCATTTAAAATTTGTAATGAAAAGAAACCTTTGAAATGCTTGGATAGAAATGCTTGAAAATTTAGATATATTTTTTGTTTGGCAAGATTGAAAATTTACAGTATTTATAGAGTTATTTTCTTCCAATGACTTGTATGGTTTTCATTCAGGTATGAATTCCAGATGCAATACGGATCCATTGGGTGGTCTGTAGGTGCCACACTTGGTTATGCTCAGGCTGCCAAAGACAAGCGTGTGATTGCTTGCATCGGTGATGGGAGTTTCCAGGTAAAGTCATGTAGGTGGTTAGAATAACAACTTTCTGAATCACTAATGTAGAGAAAATGGGTAATTCTGTCGTATAAAAGTGGCAGAGACCATGATGTTAGGTTCATGAGACGGGCCTATTTTATATGTCCATAGTGAGTTGTATGAACCACAAGAATAAAAATGGCAAGTCAATAATTTTCATTCTGTGCAGGTGACAGCTCAGGATATTTCCACAATGATTCAATGTGGGCAAAGGAGCATTATATTCCTCATCAACAACGGAGGGTATACGATTGAAGTGGAGATTCACGATGGGCCGTACAATGTGATCAAAAACTGGGACTACACTGGCCTTGTTGATGCTATTCACAACGGTGAAGGCAAATGCTGGACTGCCAAGGTTAGCATAAATAAAGAAGTAAACATGTGGTATTTTTTAGATTATTATAAAAATAAGCTGAATGTCATGTGAGTCAAACATAGTTTAGTGGTTAAATTAAAGGTTAACCCAAAAAGGTAAACTACCAATAGGTTCTAATAGTTAGACTTAATTCTCATCAAGTCTTATTGAAAAGAAGTCTTAATAAAATTGTTGTTAAAAATAATTTTTTGTAACGATTTTTTGCATGTCTCTAAAAATTAGCAATTATTAATTTTTTTTGTCATGATTTTTATAAATTGTCACTAAAATTTACAATTAGTGATGTTTTTCTTTGACGAATTTTTTAAATTGTCACTGAAAATTAAAAATTAGTGACTTTGTGGCGATTTTTTTAAACCGTCATTAAAATTTATAATTAGTGACATTTTTGTGATAATTTTCAAACTGTTGTTGAAAATTAACAATTAGTGATTTTTTTAATAGTGTTTGATGAAAAATACCATTAATTATCATAAGACCTATTGGATATTAAGTCCATCTATTAGGAGATATACGTAAGTCTTCCTAAAAAAAAAAATATTAGAACTCCACCAAATATTTTTCATGAAGCATATATAGATCAATAAATGCATGTTATGTTGCATTTCACAGATTATTGTCAAATATCACTTATAATCCTTGATAATCAAATTTCTTCATGGGTATGGCTAGTTTTTCCTAATCTGACTATCACATATTCTGCATTATTTCTGAATTAAATGTCATGGTAACCAGTTTTCTTTTTATTGAACCCACATGCTAAATTGTTTGTGGAGACATAAAGAAAAACAAAGATTCCTATTCCATAATTTGCTGCCTGATCTAAAATTTTCAATAATTTGAATACCAAAGGTCCATGTACTTGATCAACTTATCCCAAACAGGTAATACCAATCAAAGAGTTGAACTCAAAGAAACCAATGAACTTATTAAGTGCTTCAGTTTGTGGTTGGTTATAATCATCGTAATCATGGTTCCCATTTATTTATCAGAAACTAGGAACCATTGTTTTGAAATCTAACAGATTTATAAGATATATCAAATACATTTCTCATTTGATTGATGGAATGTGTGAATAACAGGTACGTACTGAGGATGAGTTGGCAGAAGCAATAGCAACGGCGACAGGAGCACACAAAGACTCATTATGTTTTATTGAAGTGTTTGTTCACAAGGATGACACCAGCAAAGAGCTGCTGGAATGGGGGTCCCGAGTTTCTGCTGCTAACAGCCGCCCTCCAAATCCTCAATAGTTTCCAACATGACTTGACATTCTAGCAAATCTCTGTTTTGATCCAATGACATTTCCAAAAAATAAAAATAAGTAAAAAAGACGGTTGCTCAATTGTTGGGATGTATTTTTGGATTATGATTAGAGAATATGTTAATTAGCACTGTAATAATGAACTGATTTTTATGTGTTTTGAGTCTGTTGACAGCATGTACGGGAGTAGTGTGTTTGTGTGAGATGGATGTAATTGTAATTGCATAGTGTGTAGACATTAAAGAATTTTCAATGTAACAAATATGTGATGTCTTTTTGGTTAGAGTTGGTTATATGTTCATGAAGATGGTGATGGTTCCATCTGCTATGCTTGTTTAATTGGGCAGATTATAGCATATGCTGAACATAGCACGGGCTTAACGGTAGTACTCATTCATGAAACGTATAAAGTTCTTGGGTCCATTTCTCCTTAAAATTTTCATTGATTAACGTAGTACTCACATCACATTTTAATAATAATATTAAAACAAGTTTAAGTGGCTTGGCTTGCTTGCTTATGTTCTTTTAATAATATTTTATCGCTTAACCGATCAAAACATAAGCTTCATATCTGGGTAGCTAACCCTAATTTGTTTAGTTTGAAGACCCTACAATTGTATTGTTTTGTTCACAAATATTGAAGTCTTTTTATATTTGAATCGGATGTGAGATGATGGTAGTTGTTGGCATTATTTTGTTTACTTTTTCCCTTTCGAATGGGAAAGGAATGTGAAATGCCATATTTTCTATATTTTGCATTATGGGATAGCTCCCTTTCACACTTTTATCTCTCCATACCTTTCTATACTCTTTTTGTAGGCTTCAATTTGGACTTGTACTGATAATTCGAACCGTTTATCTCGTAATTTTCGTAAGTTTCTATACCGATAACCAACAGACAAAAAAAAATCTTTATATTGTTACTTCTAACACAACAGGTCATGATCTTGAATTATGGAGTTGAGATCAAATTTATGATCCTGAAGTGGATTGGGCAAAGCTTAAAATGACTTGCCTGTTTATAGACTGAATTTTTCACTCAACTTTTAACTAACAATTGTTAGGTCCTTCACCCCTAGCAATATCATTGAACCTTTCTTTAGCAGAGGAAGAGGGGAAAAAAAAATGATTATTTTCCTAGTGTTGTTGGTCATCATCAAGTTTGGGATCTAATAGCTTGTTGCAGAAAGCATGGCTGAGTGTGTACACGAATTTTGAATCGTGAAATTAAAGATTGCAAAACAGAATTACAACTATGATATATTAGGGGCTTATCTATGTGATTTGCTATGCTTGCTTGTGCCTACCGGTGGATTCTATTGCCTGTTGGTTATCAATTTCTCTTTTTCAGTAGTATGAATCGCTGCACTTCGCTTCTTTCTATATGATATGATATTATGCACCTTGGTTGCTGCACTCCCTATGGGAATTAGCAAGAGAGTGAAGAACGAATGATCCTCGAAACAAAAAGAGTAATGGAGTCCGACTCAAGCGAGTGAGTGACGCGTAGCAAGAGAGTGAGTTCAGTCTTTGTTTAATTTGATCTCAGATCCAAACCAAGTTACCAAGAGATTTAGTGATCAACCAGTTTAGCAACCAATGGTAAAGGATATTCATGATTTTTGTGTGCAAATTATTTCATGGTTTTCTTATATGGCAGAAATTACAATTTGGCTCTGCCCGATAAAATGCACTGCAATTTATAAATTCATTCATGTAAAGTCACAATGCTTAGGATGAAATTCCAAGAGACATTTTTATAAAATGGAGTCAAACAAAGTTCAAGATCACCAACAAATTTACAAAGCCTTTTATGGCCATACCAATATTCTACAAACAATCCACAACATAATGAATGCATTCCTAGCTTAATCACCGAGTGACGGGAAATTTTCCCTTGCTACTTTTTCTTATTGATTGACTGCAAATAAAAAAGGACCTTTGAAGTTCATCTGGAAGAGGGAGTGCTAATGGAGGAAGTATACTGAAGTAGCTAGTCTTCATTCTTGCAGACAATGAACGTGCTAGTGCTAACTGTTGTTTGTTAAGCCCTTCAATGATGAATGAGAATGCCCTAGATGAATCAGCTTTGCAAAAGTGTCCATGGTGCACCTACAAAACATAAATGGCGCAAACAATGCTCAATTAAGAAATGCATGGATATGTACACAAACAAACACAAGAGAATTGAAATGCATACAATCAAATTGTGAACTCCAAATGAAATTAGTGTGTGTATTAGCTTACACGTAGTGGAGCCCTCAGAAATGAAATCCAGTGAATCTGATAGCCATCTTCTAACATATTGAATGCATTTTTCTAGGGATTCTCTATGAGAAAAGTCAAGATGAGGCCTAGAACTCATGCTACCAAATGTAGAAATTGAGTTGAGATCACTCGGGTTCAACTTGTAATTATAAAGCAAATTACAAAAACGCTCAGTCAATCTGTATTTCTTCATCCATATCCTTATAATCAAAACTAAATAGGAAACTAAAGTATACTAACCTAAGCAACCTCTCAACTTTTGAGATTTGAGGACCAGGCATTGCCTCAATAGAAGAATCAAAGTCGATCCCATCTTTGACTATATTGGGGAGTTGAAATTCAGATATTCATTTTTCAAAATGGCCTTCTTTGTTAGCTCTTGTGTGTTTGAAGGTTCCTTACACAGTTTCTTATATTCATTCCTATGTATTCTATATCTTTCCCGCAATAGTTTTGAGAAAGACATGACTCTATAAAATAAAAAGCTTCAAAATTCAGGCATTTGAAATCCAAACAGTTAGCAGATAGGATTTTGGGAGGGTTTTCTAGCTCTTTGTATTTTCTAAAGAAAAGCAACGAAACGAACCGAGCCAAGATGTATTGATGGGCACACTAGGATTAGGTGGGTGTTTGGTTGATGGGATAGAGCTATTCCATGGCCTTGTTTGTTTGGAGGATAGAATTGAATTAGTAGTAAGGTTAGATTTACAAATATTATTTTTTCTTTGCAAAATTAACATCGGATTAAGAGTTTCATGAGACTATGAAATCCTAGAGTACTAGCAAATATTATTTATACTCTGATTACAAACACTAATTGGGTCGGTGGGTTTTCCACCACACCACTCCACTCTCTAGCACAACACTTTTATGATTTTTATCTCTCTAAAATGAGGTGTTTCATGTTTTATATAGTCTTCCATCTTCTCAATGGATGACTAGGATTAACTTGATCTAAGGGCCATCATTATGTTTCTAAAACATTCTAGGATAGTTTTAATCTTTCACTATATTTTAGAATTTTCTAAACTATTTTAATACATAATAGAGTTTTCTATACCTTTTAAGATTATTCTATAACCTTCCAAAACCTTACAGATTTCTCTAAGTTTCTCCAATGTTTTTGATTCTCCAATGTTGTAGAGAGTTTGTGTTCAATCTTAACAATATTTTGGATGTGACTGAAAAAGTTTTTGGTTATACTTGAAGTGATATTTGGTTATGACACGTTGTAATTCTTTTAGTTAATATAGTTATAACATTTGTGGTATAAGTTGCATGACCCTAAACTACTTTTCACAGGTTTCTTTCACATCCCTTAAGTTTAGAAAAAATATAGTAAGTTTTATAATTTTGTTATAATTACATTGGACTCCCTTGAGATTTTAGTTTACATAATACCTAGCTCCTATTTCACCAATATTTCATTAGTCATATGGATAGAAAAATAAGGATGTCATATCTTTTACACTTAAATGTATAATTTTTTCTTGCTTATATGATTTTACATTATTTCCATTAGTTTCAATCGTTTTTAACTTTACTAAAATGGAGTCAATGTAATTATATTAAAATTGTAGGATTGCTTCTATTTTTTCTATGCTTCAGGGGGGCCAACGTAATTTGCCTTAATAAATATTTTTCTCTGCCATTTAAAAACAAAGAAGAACCTGTAAACAAGAAACAAGAAAAACAATCAATTGAAATATCAACTTCCCACTCCCGTGCTATTAGAACAGAACAAACCAAACAAACTATAGTGATCTCGGGTTTTCCCATTTATGTACAGTATTCTGGACTTAGGTTCCGTGGTTGAGTATTGTTTCTTTTGTTTCATTTCCATCCTTCAATTCCTTATATTTGAATTTTAGGATGTGTTGGGCAGGTTTGTATCAGGTTGGGAGTGTTTTGAAACAAATAGTTGCTGTCCAGATTTTGGTGTCTTCTCTCGAGCGAGACTTTTGTCGGTCGAGCGAGTTCTGTGTTTTAGATCCTTCGCTCGAGTCAGGGTTCCTTCGCTCGAGCGAGAGTTGGGTGATGTGTATGGTGGCTCGAGCGAGAAGTCTTGCGCTCGAGCTTGCGTTTGCGTCTGGTTCTAGACCTGAAGGTTGCAATTCTTCGCTCGAGCGAGCTTTCCTTCGCTCGAGCGAGTGAGGTCTATGTTTTGGGTTTCTTCGCTCGAGCGAGCTTTTCTTCGCTCGAGCATGCTTCTAGGTTGTAGACCTGAAGCTTCGATTTGTTGGCTCGAGCGAGGCTTTCTATGTTCGAGCGAGGTTTCTTTGTGTCTGGTCGCTCGAGCGACCACTCCTTCACTCGAGCGAGCCTCGAATATATCAGTTGGCAGCAGCGGGTTACACTTCACTTTTTCATCATCTTCTTTTATACAAACCCTAGACCAGCTGCTCTTTCTCTCTCTATATACCTTCTCTCTAGGGTTTCATCTAGTTCTAGTGGTCTTCTACCCTAGTCCCTTTGGAAGAATGGTAGAGCTTCGCGAGGGCTTCGCTTTATTATGAAAAGTTGTGGATTTGGAGCACATTGAGTTTCACATCTCTTCTTCTTTGAGCTCCGAGAATTAAGGTAGGGATAACCTACTCTATTCTATGAGTTTTAACATAAGTTTTGGTCATTTTGATTAGATGGTGTTGCTTAGTCATTTTGAGAAAGTTAGGGTTTGATTTGAGGTTATAAAAAGGGGGGGTTTTCAAATGTTAAAACCTATGTGTGTATGAAACATTGAAAAATGAAATTGTTGTTGTTAAATAGATGAAATTGAGCCTTTGGACTAATATTGAGAAAAAGGGAAAAATGCCCTAATTATGTTGAATAATTAATTTGAATAATTAATTTGGGGAAATGTGAAATTGAAGTGAAATTCATGAAATTGGAAAATTGGGGGAGTAAATGGTGTAGTTAGATAATTTAATCACTCACTTATGAAAATGTCGATATTTTATCAGTTGATAAATTTATTATCTATTTAGAGATAACTGCTTTGGGCTATCGGTGGAGAGT